CACAGCCCCTCTCCCTCTCTGGGTCTAGAGTCCCCGGGCTCAGTCTCTGCCTCCATCTCTGGCATCACTTCTTCTCTGGGTAGGGTCTTGCACTCTGCTCTCCTCCCTTGATGGTTCCAGGTACCTCCTCTTTTATTTCTTTTTAAAAATTGGCTGTCAGTCTGATTATAGTCCTCTGTATTTAATTTGTATTTATTCTAGTGCTTTTAATTTAAGAACATTTGTATCCTGATGTTCTTTTAATTTAAAAACATTTGTATCCTGATGTTGCTACTGTGTGTCTAAATGTAGGTTTATTTTTAAATATCCTTGTGAGTATCTAGGGTTGCTTTCCCTCTGATTTTTGTGTCTTTCCTCAGTTCTTGAAAACTCTTTAATTAACTTTAGATATTGCTTTACCTCCACCTCTCAATCTATTCTCCATATTTGTTACTCTTTAATTAAAAATTATTTTCTCTGTATTGCATACTGGATAAATTACTCAGAACTACTTTCCAATTTATGAATTTCCCCCTTTATTGTGTCCTGTCTTGATCAAATCCTATTTTTTTATATTTATAGTTTTAATATCTATCTATCTATCTATCTATCTATCTATCTATCTATCTATCTATATTTTAAATAAATATACATTGTTTCTCTTCCAGAACATGGGAAAAAACCAACAATTTTCTTTTTTTTCCCTTCCTTTTCTTTTTAACTGCCTTCCCCGTCACCCAAGTTAGCACATGACTACATTTTATCTGGTTAATAATTCTTCCTTCTCTCTCACCCCTGGTATTGATCATAGAATGGTTATTATAGAATAAAAATATTTTCTTGACTTTTTATAGTGGTGGTTTCATACTATATCTCTCTCTTTGTGGTTGACTAATTTCACTTAGCATAATGTTCTCCAGGTTCCTCCATGTTGTGTGGTGTTTTGCAGATTCATTATTATTCATCAGTGTTGTGTGTACATACCAAAGTTTGTTCAACTATTCTTTTGCTGATGAACATTTAGCTTGTTTCTGTCTTTTTTGCTATTGTGAATAATGATGCAATGAACATGGGTATGCATATATCTATTCATGTCACACCCCTTATTTATTGGGGATATATACCAAGTGTATAAGTTTATCAGGTTTTCTATTTCCAACCTTCTGAGAAAGTGCCATACTGTTTTCCACAGTGGTTACACCGTTTTACAGTTTCACTATATATGCTATTTTTCATATGAAAGGACTAGAGGTGCATTTCCAAAAGTCAGTCAATGAAAACCTATGATTAACCATAGCCGTATCCCATTGTGCATGGGATTGCCAAGAGACAGGAGCTGACTGGACGACAACTAACAGCAACACATTATTTTTCAGTTTTTCAAATTTCTAGCTACTCCTAGAGCCCTGGTAGTACAATGGTTAAAGCATTTGACTGCTAACTGAAAGATCTGTGGTTGGAACTCACCAGCTGCTCAGTCAGAGAAATACGTGACAGTCTGCTTCGTAAACTCTATGGGACAGTTCTACTTTGCCCTATGGGGTAGCTATGAGTCAGAATCCAATATACAGTAGTGGGTTAGCCCCCCTCATTTCAGCACAGCTACTTTCAAGAGCTGAGTCCTGGTGTGGCGCTGTGGGCTAATGTGTCAGACTACAAAGTTGTTTGAACTGCAAGGTTGGTGGTTCAGGCTCGCCAGCTGCTCCTTGGAAACCCTATACAGTGTTGGACAGCACTTAATAACAACAACTTTCAAGAGCAGCCCAAATTCTTTTACAATGGACAAGAGGTTTAGTTAAACTCAAGACAACTTAAAACATCCTCTTCTTAGTCTTTCCACTTACATATAGAAAATCATGTGTTTTAATCATCAGCTTATTCAGTGAGTTGGGTCACAAAAACCATGCTTTGTGGTCCTATTGTAGCATAAGTTAACTCTTATTAAGGGCCTCCCTTTCTTTGGTAGTCTGTCTGAACTTACTAAGATTTTAGTGTGAATGCTTAAGGCTCAAGGGCCATGGGAATTAGAGTGCTAAGCCCAGAAGAAATGGGAAAGGGAAGAGGAAAAGAAGTTGGTAGGCCAGAGGTAGGCTGGAAAGTGAGGAAGCAAACAGAAAAAAACAATACAGTCAAAAAGTGGAAACTGGCAGAGATTCCTCCTAGAGATTTTGCTCCAGTTTTGAAGCTTTCCATGCAGACTCTAATGCCAGGCACTTCACTGCCAGGCCCACTTTGAAGCTAGGCCCAGTTAATGAACCTGAGATTGGCTGGGAATGCTAGTCAGCTGTATTGGCCTTCCAGGAGCGGTTGTAAGGAGACTGCAGGGAGGAGTTATGGGAAGTGAAAACGGAAAGACTACATCTCCCAGGTTGCCACGCTTTCCAGCTGGAGTCCTAGGGCGCTGACTGCTCCCCAGTTTCCGTAGGGAAGCGCGGACCTACTGCAGCTATTGTGCGTGGTGCTATCGCCCTCCTCTTCCCACTGGGTGTTGACGGAGGAAGGCTACGTTAAGACGGAGGAAGGCTAAGTTTCTTGGCAACTGGGACTTAACCCTTCTGGCGCCTATGCAGATAGCAATCCGGCTTCCTTGAATCGGGAATTTAGCAGCTGGTGGAGCCTGGTGACGAAACCCTAGGGTGCAATGAAGATTGAAGAAGGAGACTAAGTGCTGGGGCGTGGAACTCAGGCTTCGCAGGGGCAGAGCGAAGGTGCTGGCTTTTAGAAGGAGAAGGGGGACAGTGCAATTCGGCTGCCTACGGAGTTCGGCAAAGGAAATCCTTAGAGAGTGAGGAGCAGGGAGCTTGGAGCCCGCACCCATTCCAGAGCTCGAGCCTGCCTACACCCTGGGCAGGCCGAGGCGTCACATTTGCAGTTGCTCAGGAAGGATCCAGCAGCCAGTTTTTGGAGGCGAGCCAGTCTGCGGCTTGTGCTGCTTATCAGGGGAACTGAAATCTAGTGGGCATGCTGATAGCTAAGCAGCACCCTGCTGAGATCCTACTGCTTTAGTTCCCTTTCTAGGTCACCTGAAGCGACTGCTGGGCCGCTTTCTTACACTGACCTGCTAACTCTACCCAAGAGTCTCATCGGAACAGGCACCTGTCTTCCAAAGGGTAAGAGGCTGTGAGCTTCTGAAACGGATCCCCCGTGTAGACCACCCCATCTCATCCCCCTACTATGCCACTGATGCTCTGGGTCTTTGTTTTTTCTTCTCTCCCTTCCCCCGTCCTGACCTCCGCCATCAGAGCCATGGGGCATCCCCCGCTGGAGTTCAGTGATTGCTACCTGGACAGCCCAGATTTCCGTGAGAGGCTCAAGTGCTATGAGCAAGAGTTGGAGAGGACCAATAAATTCATCAAAGATGTAATCAAAGACGGCAGTGCGCTTATCAGCGCCATGAGAAGTAAGTAGCAGGCTTGTTTCTCTGAGCCGGTGACCCCTCATTTATGGGGAAAGGAGGTGTTTCAGGGTGACTCCCAGTTCAGGTATTGACGACAAATGGGTTTTCAGACACTTAAAGATTAGGGTCAGTAGAAGTGGATGGTGGTGGCCACAATCAGAATGTTGGGTCTGCCCCTTAGTGGCCGTGACATAATAGGTAAGGATCTGTAGCTGTGCTAGGGACTCTCTTACTTTGCAACCACCCCTATTTGACAAATGGTTGTTCTGAAGGGATACACTGCCTGCACTGTTGGACAAGTTTTGCTTCTGTGTCTGGGACAAGGTGACATCAAGCTGACCAAGGAATTGCCCCAGCGCCTCCTAAAGGATTGAGTAATGGTTTTATCCTGGTCTCTGGTTGCTTCACATAAGTGTGGGGCAGTAAAAATAAATCCCATGGCAAATTATTTTCTAATGAAAACACCTTTGCCCCAGTGATACTTTCTTAAAGGTACTGACATATGGTTTAGGTCAGGGTCAGTCTAAGCTCAGAACTTTTAGTTAGATGATTTCACATGCCAATGAATTCCACTTGAGGGTGGAACAAAGACCAACCCACTCCCTAGCACTAGGAGCCTGGACCCCAAGTAGTAAATACAGTGCTATAGCTGGGGGGAGGGGTATGGAACCTCACCTGTTTAGCTTTCTCAGTGGTCACAAGTGACTCAGCTGTGGACCCATCCCCACCTTCCACTGTGAGTACATTTTTATTTTTATTTTTTTTGCTGGTTGAAAGGAGGCCTGGAGTAAAAGAACAGCAAACATTCCCAACAAGCAAGCTCACCTTTTGTGCTGAAGCATATACTCAGAAGTATGGAGGGTAATGATTGGTGGAGTGACAATTTATTTTTTATCTTCTTGATTGAAAATCGATCATGAAAAATAAGACAAAGTCATTAACAAATATTCATTGTATTCTTAAAACTTTCTTTTGAGTATATATATCCCCAATATTCTTAAGGCAGATGTAGGTAACTATGGGTCAGGGACAAAGGTCTTGGAAATAGCAGGTTTTTATTTATTTATTTATTTTAATGTTTTTATTGTGGATTGAGTGAAAGTTTACAGGGCACATCATCATTTCACATTCAACCATTCATATAACTTGTTTCATTACATTGATT